GGCTGGTTCTGGATTCAACTCCGGGCTTGAGTCTGGCTCGAGTTCTATGTCGGACGTGGAAGATGCTTTCTCGTCGGCGATTTTCTTGGTAAGTTGCCGCTTTTCTATAAGTGATTTCTCCGGTACCGGGTCTGTGTCTACTTCTATTTCAAGACTTCCCTTGCCTACCATTGGCCTCTTTGATCGTTTGTGAACCTCTTTGTCGGGTGAGTCACCGATTGGGCCCGCGTCCTCATCAACCTCCAAAACATCAGAAGCGGTTGCGCAGCCTGGACCTGACAAGTCTCGGCGTGGGCGTGAGATGGAAGGCTTGCTTGCTGAGGACTTTGAATTTTTGATTGAAAGATTGGCCAACTGCTCTTCGAGTTTCATCTTGTACGAATCGGCCGAGGGCGGCGTTTGACCACCACTGGCTTCCGCAACTCTCTTGGGCACGACGGGTGATGACGGGGCCGCCGGCTTGGACTCAGATTTGGGCTGCAGTTTCTTAATGACAGCCTCACTCTCCATCACCTCGCAACCCGTCACCTCGACGAGCTTGCTCATCGAAGCGTTATGACGTACGTCGGAGCGAAAACCACAACAGTCCTCAACCAAGGTGATGGAGTAGCCAAACGTGGCGGCATCCATTGCTGAAGCGTGGACGCCAATATTGGTGAGTGATCCGCAAATGTAAAGCTCGTGGACGAACTTGACGCGCATCATCTGGATCAACTGGCCAGAGGAAAAGACCGAGTAATGTGACTTGGTCAAGTTGATATCCCTCTTGCCGATGACCTCCTGGACGGCAGCAGGATAACCAGCACCAGGGGTGCCGGAGCGGACGATCTTGGGTCCAGGTTGGCTAAGGAAAGCTTCCGGGTCGGCATCGAAAGTCTCTTCGGGCGCTTGCTGAGATGCGCCTCCGATCCTTCTTCTAGCACGGGACTCGAGAATCCGGGGTTTTGGGATTGTGTCGGTAGCCCAGATCTGCTCCCCCGAGGCAAGGCGATACTTGTCGAACTCGCTGCGCACCCAGATAACGTCCCCGACTTTGCGAAAGGCCTTAACCAGCTCCAAGGTACGTGTGACCAGTTCGTTGCCGTTTGTGACTGGTAGGGCGCCGTCGGCAGACACGAAATCATTGTTGAAATCGATCACCAACAGACCTTTGCGCGTTGGTAGCGTAGGCATGGCGGTCACATCGAAAGGAAACATTTTGGCGGGAGTAGGGCGAAGCCAGACTTGTGATGGTGACCGGGTAGTGAGTATCGGGTGATGTTCAAGGCGACAGGACCTCCTCGTCCTTTCTTTCGAATTTGGTATATCGGGTTTGGTTGAAGTGTGACGCGTTATCCCTTGAGCTTATTCAATGTTGGATAACCGATGACTCAGGTGCTATCAAGATGCCGCCGTTTCCAGTACACAAAATACTGCAAGCTTCATCAGTTCACTGTCCTGGTGGTCTTTAGGTTTTGGCCCATGTGTGACCGTACGGTGAGTGAAGAGAGGATATCGTGAGGAAAGCAATCGGGAAAGAGACAGAGGGTTTTCCGACTCGTCGTCGTAAAAATATGTTGTGTCTCCGGTAGCGTATCAATATGTACCAAGTATCGCACTCGAATGTTGATGAGCTCTGAGCAGGTGGAGTGAGTATCTGAGAATTGGGCTAGACCGCAATCGTGCAACTGAGGGTTGAAGCGCAGGGCATTGGGTTCCGTGCCTGTTCGAATCGGCTCTCGTCCGATATGGAAGTGGATCCAGCGGGGAGCTAGCGACCTACGAATAGCGGAGGCAGCCGTAGGCGGGGGTCAATCAGGTCAGGGACTCAGGTCAAGTAGGGCTAGAACAGGTGGACCCTTGATCAGCTCACATTGAAGTGGAAGACGGCCGTGACCGGGTAAGATATGAGAGGCTGACTGACGTACCATGCCATCATCTTAGAAGTCGGATTGGAAAGGGTAGAAGCTTCAACTCTCCAGAAGCAACCTAGCATACAGGTGTTACGGTATTACCCTCCGCCTCCATTGATGAACAGTATTTCAATTATGTGAAAACAAACACTTGAGTCGTCTACTCCCAACAACCGAGTCCCTGTACTACGCATCAGTCATAACCGCAGACTTTACAGGAAAACTCGACTGTATACTGGCAGTTGCAGAAGTTCCCAGACTCATCTAAATAATGGATTTCAGTCGCACTGTTCATTTCAACTGACGATTTCTCTAAGAAAAGCTAACAAAATCAAAATGGTCGCTCTAAAGTTGTGTTCGATGAAATCTAAATGCGTCTAAGTCTAGGTCTTGTCTGATTCTATAGCCCCATGTCTCATTCCCATTCTGTTTCTTGCATCTATTCATTTCAAAGACTCCATCTACTAAATTTCTCGTGAAGTTCGCATCTGCACAGCCGATACATCCTTGCCCATAACCCTCTCCTGGACCTGCCACGCATATCTCACCGCATGGAACCCTAGAGGCCGAAACAACAGGCAGAGACCGCCTTTTCAGGCTGCTGGGTTTCATACTAATGCCTGGAGAGAATCGACCACGTCAGCAAAGGTAGGTCTCTCAGAGACGACTGCGTTGGAGCAGCGGGTGTGCAACTCCCGCAAGCTTTGCAGAGCCTGCTGCCTTTCATCACTCTCCTCGACATGAGCAACCCCCATCAAGTCGTCAATGAGGTGAGCGAATGCAAGTATCTCCAGCTTCTCAAAGTTGAATCTGCCGAGGTGCTCGTAAATCGTCGCTGCTCCAAAGTCGCCAAGCAGAGCGTGTCCGTCATCGTTGAAGAGAATGTTATGCGCATAGAGATCGCAGTGAGAAACTTTTCGGCTGTGAAGGTGAAGAGCAGCTGCGGCAACGCCACCCAACAGCTTGAGAACAACCTTGACTGACAATCCCTTGCCTGGTGTGTACCGGTCTCGAGTGCAAGTATCCAAGGAAGGCGGCAGGCCGAGACTCTGATAATGGGGAGGAATGAGCTGCATGATGAGGCCGTGCTTCTCTGGATGGCCCCGGATGCTGGCCAAAGTGCTGATGAGGTTGTCGTGCGAACCTGCTGCCAAACAGGCGCCCATTTCATCTAGTGGTGTTCCGTCGCTGGTTACCTCCCCCTTGAACAGCTTCACAGCTACCTCTTCTACCACCGAGTCGGCGAGCATCCACCTCGCTTTGAAGATGTCGCCAGAGGCTCCGTGGCCCAGCAACTCTCTCATCTCAACATCCTCCCAGTCCACTTTACGCAGCAGAGCAAGCTCCTCCTCGAGACTGACTGAGCAACAGGGGTTGCCGGCAACAGATAGAAAGGCGAGTTCGGGGAGTTCAAACAGCCATTTGGGCAAGTCGGAGAAGTTATTGGCGGAAAGACGGAGTAGGCCAAGTTTACTGCAGGCCGCCATCTCATCCGGGAGGCTTGTAAGATTGTTGCCGGCAAGCATGCACTTCTGGAGCCGAGGGCAGCGGCCGATGCTTTGGGGCAGTGCCTCGATGCTATTGTTTGTGAGGATGAGCCAACGCAAGTTGGGTGGCAAGGAATCTTCTGGGATGGTGGTCATGCCGTTGGAGCGAAACGCCACCATATCGAGTTCGGGACACGCTGATAGCTGATTAGGAAACACAGCGAACCGGCAGTCGGAAAAGAAGGCGACCTTGAGCTTGCGCAGTCGGCTGAAGTCATCGGGGAGAACAGAAATGCCGGTCCCGGAGAGGTCTAGATGCTCGAGGGTTTCGGCTAGGTCCAGGATCTCCAAGGGGAATTGGTCCAAAGTACCGGTGATTTTGAGCTTTTGCAGGCATTGGCCGCGATAGCCTCCATTACGGAGGGTTTCAAGGTCCTGCATTGCTGCAAGAAACACTGAACGAGTGAGCGGTATTATTTGGTGTTACCGAAGTGCCAGGTAAACACTCAATTTTACACCTAAGCCAGTTCGGAGGAGGGTTGAGGAGGCAAAGACAACGATAGAGGCAAAAGAGAGCGACATGAGTTGAGAGGGTTGATGAATAGTAGAACATTGAAAGTACGAGGAAGTCTATTATTGGGTCATGGAAGGGGTGAATCGAGGCGCTTGACTCAGATAAGATAGTGAATATAGGCTGGCCAAGATGGGTCTCCCTGCATTAATTAGACCATGTAGGGTAAGGTGAGTATAGATGCACAGTCCTCCTATTGTACACGTATGCCTGCTAACTGGAAGGCAAACAGCAAGCGACTTGTAGTAGGCCAGTTTCCTCTGTGTCTCTGCGAAAGTGTGAACGAATAAGGCAGTCTATCTTTGGCTCTGGAAATGTGATGAGAGTACCTTACATGGAGTGAATGATAGCAATGCCCAAAGACTACACCTTAGAAAGCACTTGGCTCAATGATGCCATATCCTGCGACGAGATCGTACCCAGAGATCTGACACGGAAAATACCACTCTTGGGCTTGCGAGAGATCAGTGATTGGGTAAAAACATAGATGGCTTCGAAATTATTATTCCCTTTCCAAGTCGTTTCCTTTTTCTGATAAGCCTGGAAGTGCTGGACGTCCACCTCGGGATGATGCGCAGGTCATCCATCATCCACCCATGATTGGCTCAGGGCCCCTTCAGGCGCTGAAGGGTGGATTCAAGTTCGATTTCAGTGGATGATAAGCCGCGGGGCAACTGCCGAGCCCCCCCCCCCCCCAGAAAGACAGAAAAAGAGCCTCATCCCAAATCCCATTTTTTAATCGTCGGTACGTACCTATCCTCGCGCGCAAGGTGAGGTAGCTTAGCTCCTGCACCTTCCGCCCGAGGCGCAAACAATCTCGAATCTCGAATCTCGGACCTCGAACAACCTCCTTCCACCAACATCGCGCCTTCCTTTTCCCAAGGCCCAGGCCCAACAATACGAGCGCGCGCCGCATACGCTACCGTTACGCATTTCTCTGCCTAGATCTACAGAAGTGCCGAAACTCTCCTGTTCTCGAGATCCGCGCGTCCATTTGCGACCTCGCCGTGACACGACTCCATCTCCTTCGAGCTCTGTTCGACGTCCGCCATGTCTTCACCTTCCGCGGCAACGACTCCGCTCAAGCGGGGCTCGTCTACTGAAGATGAGAAATCAAGCATCAAGCGGCAGAAGATGAATAGCGACGCGCCGAAAAGCCCCTCTGCTGCCGACGATGAAGATCCAAGCCTACCTGGCGCGACCAAAGTCACCATTCCATCTCTGGATTATCAAGCCAAAAGTGGTCTCGAAAGAAGTATAGGACTGGCACTGCAGCAAGTCGGCTTTGATTCCGCTACCCCGGAAGCAATGCAAGGCTTCTTGGGGGCCGTAGAGACCTGTGAGATTACCAGACGTCTTGTGAAAACTGATGCTTTTAGGCGCTAACTCGACGTCCAGACATGGCCTCCATGATCGCCGATGCCAAACGTATCGCTCTAGCAGCACGACGGGAGCAGCCGACGCCAGCGGACTTCGAGTCCACGATGCGACGCTACACTCTGAAGACGAAGGCGCTGCGGCCTCACGTCCGTCATCCCGTACCAAAGGCGAAGCTAGACGTGGAATATTTCAATCCTTTGGTCGATGACCCAGATGCGTACACAACATTACCACTCCTCGGTGAGGAGCTGAGCGGCAAGCCCGAGAAGGAAGCCAAGCCGTACATACCAAAATCCTTCCCCGACTTTCCCAGCAAACATACCTACAAATACACACCCAAGGAAGATGACAACGGTCGTGACCCCCAGAAAACGAGGGAAGAGGCTGCCAAGGCCTCGAAGCAAGGAGAGGAGGCCCTACGAGGCCTGGTTCGGGCGGCAAAGGTCCGAAAGCAGAAGGAAATCAGATCCCTGTCGGAGCGCGATCCTATGACCAAGGAGCGCTATTCGCTATGGGCGGCCGCTATGGAAGGTTTCGTCAAAAAGGAAGGCGGCGCTACCGGCCAACAACTCGAGATTGCCGACCATAGCATGATTGTCAACTCGGACGCCCGGCATTTGCGCAGGGAAGTGCAGCGACAGAGCAAACGAGCCGCCGGGCAAAGCTAGTCATCCTCTCTCGGTAGAGGCCGAAAGCGCGAGTCCAGTGCTTCAAAGGACGACCCCATAATAAAAAAGGATGAGCAATGATCAGAACTGATGGGTTTGGGTTACATAGGCGAGTGTGTCGGGTGCCAATCAAGGCAGACACAGAAATTGGTTGTTTAGGGAAATGGGCGTGCATTCAGCAAGGCGTTTGGGTACTTTATCGTGTGGACGGGCTACAGCAAATCACCTCATTTCTAGGCCGAGAAAGAGGCTACTGAAGCAGGAGGAGGACCATGCGATTACTAGGTTTGGGCACTTTACAGCGATCACATGGACAAAATCGAAGGAGTGAGAGACTTTGCGTAAGCAGCAAGCGATTCATCCAGATCACCCCTTAGTTTTATCAATAATCTCAGAGCGTTCAGCAGTAGCTTCCCGCATGCATGCTTGTGATGTGAATATGAGGGTTGCCATGGATGAGAGAAGGGAAGCGTGGTCATCTGATTCAAGTCGTGAGAGACCACATCTGAGTGAGAGACTCGTGCATCTGCACAGTCATGGGCTTGTCATGTTGCGACCTAAGATAATCAAGTGCCATTCTGCGAGCCCCTGCAGCGAGTGACATGCAGAATCGAACTTCCCGTGATGGGCCCGGAGTATTGGACATGGCCTTCCATTCACTCCATACTGTGGTAGGTATCGATGTACCGTCCCTTTCTGCTCGAGTATGGGGCCAATCAGCCTCGTGCCAGCAATTCAGAAGAAGCGTAGCCACCAACGGCTCCCATTGGCTCCAGCCCCACCTCGGTGGCCCACACTCAACGCAGCAGGAGCAAGGCTGGCGCTCTTTCCACCTGCCAGGCCCTAAGCGAAGTTTGCTAATTTTTTTCACCCACACCCAAAATCCGGAATCTCAGCTCAAGCTCCCCAAGGGTCAAAGGTGTGACGCTCAGAATCAACTCCAATCTTTCTACCTTTCCCTCACCACTCAATCGACCTGATTGCCTCATTTCCCAATGGCTGAGCAGTTGATTCTCAAGGGTACCCTCGAGGGCCACGTAAGTTGCTGCCGTCTCACTTGCCCGCACGCCGCTGCGTTGCGCCGGCCATTTTTGCGTTGTGCTTGGGGCTGACGGCGATGCTTTTTGCAGAATGGCTGGGTCACCAGCCTGGCTACCTCCATGGAGAAGTACGACCATCCCTACTTTCCTCTTCACCTCCGATCGCCCCTACCCAGCTACCGCTGCCGCCGAAGTTGATTTTCGAGAGAAGGACGGGATTCTTCGAAATGGGCAACGACATGCGAGCCTCTGCATAGTGGCACCGGCGGGGGAGGAGGCCATGAATCTCGAAGGACAACGATCGCTAACATCTCGACAGCCCCAACATGCTCCTGTCCGCTTCCCGTGACAAGACTCTGATCATCTGGAACCTCACCCGTGACGAGTCCCAGTACGGTTACCCCAAGCGCTCCCTCAAGGGCCACTCCCACATCGTCTCCGACTGCGTACGTCTCTCGAACCCCTCCGATTTTTACGAAAAATTCCTTTGCCCTCTTTGGCTGGGCTAGAATTACTGGGAACTCTGGGCTGATGGGAAGGAAAATAGGTTATCTCCTCGGACGGCGCCTACGCCCTGTCTGCCTCTTGGGACAAGACTCTCCGCCTTTGGGAGCTTGCCACCGGCACCACCACCCGCCGCTTCGTCGGCCACACCAACGACGTTCTGTCCGTCTCCTTCTCCGCCGACAACAGACAAATCGTTTCCGGCTCCCGCGACCGCACCATCAAGCTCTGGAACACCCTCGGTGACTGCAAGTACACCATCTCCGAGAAGGGTCACTCCGAGTGGGTTTCCTGCGTCCGCTTCAGCCCCAACCCCCAGAACCCCGTCATTGTCTCCTCTGGCTGGGACAAGCTCGTCAAGGTTAGTGTCAAGCACCCCCATATCTGTTTTTCTGGAGAAATCGCCCCAACAACTCGATTCGACATGATGCTTGCAACCAAAGTATTTGCTACTTCAGAGCCTGCCGTGCAGGCCATGAGACCACTATTCACCATTGCCCTGATCTCGCACCTTCGATTTTTATCTTTACCTTATGGAAAATTCTGTATGGATCAGGATGGCTAACAAGGGCAAACCTCTAGGTCTGGGAGCTCAGCACCTGCAAGCTGCAGACTGACCACATCGGCCACACCGGCTACATCAACACCGTCACCATCTCCCCCGATGGATCCCTCTGCGCCTCCGGTGGTAAGGACGGTACCACCATGCTGTGGGACCTTAACGAGTCCAAGCACCTCTACTCCCTGAACGCCAACGACGAGATCCACGCCCTTGTCTTCTCCCCCAACCGCTACTGGCTCTGCGCTGCTACCGCTAGCAGCATCATCATCTTCGACCTTGAGAAGAAGAGCAAGGTTGATGAGCTCAAGCCCGAGTTCACCGCTGTCGGCAAGAAGAGCCGTGAGCCTGAGTGCGTGAGCTTGGCCTGGTCCGCCGATGGCCAGACCCTGTTCGCCGGTTACACCGACAACATCATCCGTGCCTGGGGTGTCATGTCGAGAGCATAAACGGGCGTGAAGCTCTGTTCTGTTCTCTCTCTCTGGGTTATGCGATGATGGTGACGAAGTGTGGTGGGGAAAGGGCTCTCTTGGTAGATCATGGCGGGCGTCCTAGGCTGGCTTCCTCGTTATGTCTTTCGGGATGCGCAGGGTCAAAACGATTTGTGAAAAATTGGGGATGAGACTGCATGGCTGGCTTATAGGTAGCCCACGAAAGGACTCGGACATGAACCCGTAACGCCCAAATCAAAAGATCCTGGCAAACTCAAAAAAATCCTGTTTCTCGTTCATTCAAATCGTGATGTTGACTTGGTCAGCACACAATCGCATCAGTCCTGCTTTCAGTGATTACTGTGAAACTTGTCCTTTCAACACGATGTCTGCAGACCTGGTATTATGGGCCCCGTATTGGGTGCAACATAAGGAAAGCACTGTTACAATAAGCAGGTTGGCCTTCTTGCTGTGATATGTGACGACCGAGTCTAGTTCTTATGTAGTGTCTAGGCATGACGTTTCAAGACCCCATGCTCTCACTGCATCACATAGAACAAGATTATCATGTTAAAGATATATAACGACTTGGCATTGTATATATACGGAGAGAATGTAACTAGGTCATGTGTGGAAGACGGAATTCGGCAAGGGAAACCCCTTTTTCGTACAATGACGGGTTCTCGCTGCGGCCAACATGGTCAGGGTAGCGAAAGCCTTGCTTTCCCATCTAGAAGGCAGGCTTGGCGTTCTTGAGCAGCATCTCAAAGTAGGCCTGGTTCCACGTACCAGCCTCGGGAGATGGCTTGTAGGCATCCGACTTGCCGCAGAACGAGTCGTAGCGCGTGGCGCTCGAGTCGCTGGTGCCGTCGGACTCGCCGCCGGGCTTGACCCAGACGAAGGCATCGGCGAGCTCGAGGCCGGTGCTGCCGCTCGGGCGGAGGCCGAAGCCGGCGCCGTTGACGTTGCACCAGTCGCCCCACTCGAGACGGAGGCCCTGGACGCCGTTGCGGCCCGTGTCGACGATGGCGTGGTTGGGCATGCCGGCCGTCTGGAGAGCGGCGCCGAGGAGGGTGACATACTTCTTCTCGTTCTGGGCCTTGTTGTACTGGCCGTCTGGGGCGTTGGCGAATTCACCGGGCTCGGCGTCCCTGAAGTACATGATGTAAGTGAAACGGTCCCTCTCTGCGTTGTTTCTACTTTTCACAGTATGGGTATGTGAGCTAGACTTACCAAGAGTTCCATCCGGCAACGTTGGTGGCGATGCCTCGAAGCTGCGAGGGGCTGCCGCCGGCCTTGTATGCCTTGGCGAGCTCTTCGGCACCAGGCTTGAGGTTGTCATTCCACTACGAACCAGTCAGCAACATGATCATGGAAGGCAAGCAAGATAGAGCGAGAACACATTGCATGGACAGGAGTGGCGATAGACTTACTCCAAGCCAACCTCCGTGGCCAGCATCGAGATACATGACGACGTTGGGGAGGTTGAGAGCCTGGATGGCGTACGCAACGCCGTCACGGTAGCCCGAGGCCGAGGCCTGGCAGGTCGCGAGGTTGGCGTTGGTGACCAAGTTGGGCAAGGAGTCGGGCTCTATGACGAGAGCAAAGGCGGTCTTGGGGTTCGCCTTCAGGATCTTGACAATGGGGTCAATGTACTCCGTCTTGTAGCGGCTCAGCTCGCCGACTTTGAGCTCGCCGTTGGAGGCCTTGGCAGCGCAGTCGCGGCCGGGGAGGTCGTAGATGACCAGGCCGAGAATGTTGCTGCAGGGAACGTCGGCGATGGCGGGTGTGAGGCGCTGGATGTTGGCAATAGTGTCACTTTAACCCTGTAGCATCAGTATGACACATTATCTGCAAAGGGGATATGAATGTTGGGGGTCAACCTACAGCCAGAGGAAGGAGCCGACGTCAGCGACCTTCAGGGCCTTGGCCTTGAGCGTACTGTCCGAGATGGCTGCAGCGGCGGCCTGGATTTCGGCACGGTAGAAGCTGTTAGGATGTAAGGTGTACTTGGAGAAGACATTGGTCTTCGCATCCAGGGAGACGTTGGCAGAGCAAGCAGCGGCCGCTGCCCGAGGCTGCTCCTTGATCGTCTGAGAAGGGGCAGCAATGGCTGTCGAGGCCAAGGCCGCCAACGTAGCGGCGGTGAACTTCATCTTGATGGATTACTCTCTTGAGATGATGAGTTCTGTGGTAGTGATGCTGATATCCTGGTGATGAGAGCCATGAGTACGCCGGGAACCATGACACTATTTATCTGCAGTCACGATACCTCGAAAGATGACACCAAATTTTGCAACCTGTTCATCCCTGAACCTCCGAGTAACGTAAATCAGGCACCAGGCCCGGTGGCGGTATTGATTTCGGTCTCAAGCCTCCGAACCAAGAATGTCTATTCAAAGGGGCCATCTCCAACGGGCAAGATGATGAACTCTGTCATGACCGCAACCAGAAAACCCCTATTTTTACGCGGTGTCCACCAAAGTACCTCACGATCAAGGGTTCTCGATACGAAGTCCACCGCCAGATTGACGACTTCATCTAATTATCAAGCGACCATTGGCCTAAGAGTCTAGTACTGAAGTGGCCGATGGTTGGAACACTCAGACATTGTGGTATTTGCAATATTAGAGAATGTTACCTCGTCAAACCAACCTCCGCTTCGACCATTCGAGAGCAGATCTCCTATTCTGCACGATTACCCCAACCGTGGGCGAGTGATGGTGCCATTTAACTAAGCAGGCTCTCTAAAGAGCGGGCCGTCTCAACCGGATATCGTAAGATCTCCAATAGTCCCGGGGGAATCGCTACAGTGGCGAGCGGTAGACGCAAAAGTTTTGATGCTTCAGGAAACCTTGCACTTCACTTGCCTTTCCCGGTCGTTTTCACCTGTCACCATCACCTTACTGTAACACATAAAAGTGAATTGGGATTGAAGCAGACCTAGTGTGCCCATGGGAGATAGCTATTGCCTGGAGAATTGCAATGGCATGCGTCGAGTCTGATGATTTCAGGCACTACAGAGCCTCCCGGTCAAAACATAACCACACTCCAAGCAGACGAGGTAGCTAATGACCGATTCTAACTGAGGTGATTCGTCTCTCTAGAGTTCCCGAAGACAGAATAAAGTGTTACGAGCTAGGGTGGTAGTCGTCACTTTAGCCGGCAATAACCCCAAATCACCGGGGGGGTGGGGGGAGGGGAGATCCTGGTGCTTAGTGCTTGATTTCTCCTTGGCCGGCTAAAAACTCCGATCCTGACTTCATGGCTTGGCTACTTCAACTGTAAATTGGTCAGATGCCGCCGGATGAAACCCCCTCTATTCGCCTACAAAGCCAGAATGGTGCGACAATCCGTTGATATTAAATTTTGCCATGCGGCCCCGGGCTCAACCTCATTAGGCAGGAGACAAATGTCAGCATGACCAGCAACAAAGGGTTTGGTGCCCATCAATCTGCCCAAACAATCACTTGGATGAGGGAAAGCTATAGCTCGTAGCTCCATCAAATTCTTCATGTTCACAGGCATGATGCCTCGCTTCTTTCTCTATCGAATGCTGCCTCAAGATCAACTCATTTGTTGTCTCGACCTTTCAGTTAGACAATATGTAGCTTCGATGCCACGAGACTCCAAAACATCAAGCAATCCAAGATCGCAAAAAGCGACTTGGGTTCAGCTTACATATGGACAGATCATGCAGGTCAATACAGAGACAAAGATGATGTATGGTCTGATATCAATGACAAATTGCTGCGGGACACAAGCACATTGAGATCAAAAAGGACTTGCGGATAGGACCCAAGCTATTCTCCTATGTCTTGCTCAACGGAACTACAGTGAACGAACACTAGAAGGGGTGGAGAAATGTGTTACGATGGTTTTGTAGTCAATTCGTGGAACGTCATTTTGCCACGTCCGATCACCCTCTTTATGAGCTTCTGATGATCTCTTTGCGCTATGTTACATTTGTGTCGGTGGTGACACTGGGCCTCTTGGCCGCTGGCAAGGTATGGCTATCCTAGCGAACAGCGATGGCGAACAACTCGAAGCCAGGCGAGGAGTTGCTAGCGCAGGTGGTTGCTTCCGATAGTACCGGCTTGTCAAAATGCATCCTTACATGAAAGGAGGCAGAGAGAAGGGGTAGCCGCCGTTCTTAATGCGGAAAACGCTGAGAAGGAAGCTGTACATAATGAACAGAACACCACCCCAAGCCAGAACAGCAACCTGCTGTCTCTTGTTGTCGCCGATACGAGGCACCTTGACGGTGAGAGAGATGGCGCAGAAAGCCAAGACACCGTCTACTTTTAATTAGCTTTTACACTTGATGTGGAGGGGAGTGTAGACAAACAGATAGCAGCAACGATCTGGGTCTCCAAACCGAACTGGTTCTGGAATCCACCGGCAAAGTAGCTGATACCACCTCGGCCATCTCCAGCCACGTAAGGAACTTTGCGGATATGGTTGAACATGTGGCCACTGGTGAAGAGCAGAATGGCAATGAGACTGATGGCGGCCCACAAGTTGCGGTTCTGAATGACGGGAAGGATGTAAGGCGAGGCAGTGACGAGGACGGTGCCGAGACCAAGGACGATGGTGATGCTAGAAATCCATCGCATCCAGTTGATCGGGCGCTTCACCGGAGGGTGGGGTCGGTCAGTAAGGTGTCTCGACAGCCAGGCATGGACCTGTTCAGCAGACTGAGGTCTGTTTAAGTCGTTAGCTTATACTGAGAGGTACTCCATTCCAGGAACAGGTAACTCACCCGCTGGTGAAGTCATATTGCAGAGGATCAACGGCAGCAACAGCGTGAGGGCCGATGGTGGGCTGGAACAGGAGCAGGACGGGGGCGGTTTGGAGGCCGAGCTGATAGTGATCGTATTAGTTCTTGGCCGAGTCCATTGTACCTGATTTTGGGTTAGGGTTTCCTACCGACATGAAGACCTCACGGCCATCAGAGAAATCGAGAGTTCCAAAGAGAAGGCGCGACTCGCCCTTCTTGTCGCCCTTAGTCCAGGTCTTACCCAGAAGATCCCATTCCGGCTGGAACTCCCGGCACAATTGGCAGCCGAATCGGTTCTCGAGAGCGGTCAGAAGGACTGCAACGGTGTAGTCGCGAGGAGCAGAAGTCAAGGACTTGTAGCTAGTATCGGCAAGCTTGATCGGGGACGAGGTAAGAGCCTTTGCGTGGAAATCGTTGAATCGTTCTTCGGGGGTCTTCTTGGCTGCAAAGGCTCCGGCAGCGAGAAAGGTTCCCGCTAGGAGGGAGCGAAGGAAGTGCATTTTGAGGAATGCGTCGGTAATTTAGACGCAACAAGAGCTTGGGAGACGATTGAAGGGTTGATGATTTGGCCAATTGGCCGTTTCTGGTGATATTGAAGTCGGGCGTGCGTAACGAACTGGTGCGCGCCGCGAGTGTCGTCGAGATGCCGCACACTGAACTTCAACAGCTCGAACTGGACAGCTCTCAACAGCGGCCGACAACCCACAGAGAAGTGGGTCGAGTCGCAAGCTTGTGTACGTACCATCTCGATGCTGGCTTACCTAAGTAAGGAAGGTACCATAAGGCACTAGGCTGGGCCGGGGGTATGGAATGAAGACACGGCCGTGGCTGCCGGGGGTAGCTGGTTCGGATATTAGTTCTTCCTGGACACGAGCGGGTGCCCTGAACTTTCCCGGTGTTATGTGACCCTGAACCGTTTACCGAGACATCAGCGTAAGGCACCTTAGTCCAGAACCTGTGGAGACAGTCTGCCTGGAGCGGGGGGCACGGCGTCGATGGACTAACCAGTTTGGGAACCATGTTTACCTTGCCAATTGGTACTCCATTTCAAAGTCAACCCAAACACACCACCATCTCAACATCGACACCGCGAACCACAATCAATCTACGCGCGGGCATCCATACTGTCGCGCATTGCGGTGAAAGAAGACTTCTGAACCACAATAACGTGGCTTCAAGCAACACAACACCTCTTTAGGGGCCTCCTAATCCCACGCGTCGACGCGCTTCCAGCGCAGAAGCAACTGCACAACACCGCCATTATGCCTTGCAAGACTAGGAACATGGACTCGGAAGAGGTAAGTCTAGTAGTCGGTTAGTAAATAATGGCGTGTCTCTAACTACTCACATAGAGGGCCGCTGCGGCTCACGAACTCGAGATGAAACACCAGCAACATATCCACAAAGCACAGCTTATTGTCAAGGAGGAAGACACGCGAAGACAGAAGGTCACCAAGCAAGTTCTCCTCGACGAGAACGCGACATTGCGCCAGCAGCTTTCCGAAAGGGAAGTGCAAATCAACCAGTTGTCCGAAAAGTTCGACCAAACGCGCAGTGACCTGGAATCACTAAAGGCGACAAATCGCGACCAAGACACGCAGCTAAAGGCTCAGAAGAGGGAGTTTGGTCACATCAAGGTTGGTGTGAACGCTGATTCGGCAACGCCCGACGAATTATCCTAACTTCGAATGTGTCAGGCCGAACTCGAATCCCTTAATAGCCTGTCCCAAGATTCTACGAAAGTGCTTGCAGAAAAGCTTACTCTCTCTCGGGAGCTGAACGCTATGAAGCCTGAACTGGAGCATCTACGGTCGCAAGTCGCCCACCAGCAAAACGTAATCGCCGAAAAACTGGAATTAGAGCGTCAGCTGAATATGGCTGAAGTAGAGTTGGCTGCCGAGAAACGAGCACGGGAACAACAGACGGCACAAGCGGAGGGCGACAAATCGGCCGAAGACGAATTGAGACGCAGACTCAAGGACGTCGAGAAGAAGCTGACGACAGAAAAGCGTGAAAAGGAACAATTGCAGGAAGAGCTTGAGGCTGCTGTCTCAGCCGCAAAGGCTGGACAAGAGAACAAGAAGGCGGAACGCGAGTCGACTCAAAAGGTTCAAGAGATGGAGAGGATGCTTTCGGTCGAGAGACGGGAGCGGGAAAAGCTACGGAAGGAGCATGAAATGGCTCTTTCTGAGGCCCAAACGCAGAACGAGATGCTCGAACAGCGCCTAGACACGGTCAAGTCCAAGTTGCGCAACGCTCAGGAAGAGTTGAAGGCCGTCCGTGCGGAGTTGGTTGCTCGACCGGCAGCAATACCGAGTGCCCAGCTTCCTGCGCGTGCAGGAGGCGCGAAGGCGCAGGCCGGTAAGAAGCGAAGAGTTGAAGAGGTCACCATGAACGACATGAGCCTTGGCACGCCAGAAGACATCACTCGCGGCAGGCGCCCTGCTAAGAAGAAGGGTCTTGAGCAGACGATGTTAGGCGAGAAGTCGCTGTTCTCCATTACTCCTTTCTTGGCCAAGTCCAAGACGCTCAATGTCGAGGATGCCGTCGCCGAAGAGGACGAGGAAGCTGATGTCAGCTATATCCCTCTGTCCCACCAGTCTCATTCTCAAGAGGTCGAGATCGATACTGGGGCCGAGGTCGAGATTGCAGATGCGGCGGAACAGTTGGAGGAGGTTGAAGAGCATGAAGAGTCCGCGGATAAGCCTGCTCCCACCAAGACAACGAAAGCAAAGCCGAAATCAAAGAATGATGGCGAAGCGAAGAAGCCCCGTGGCCGACCAAAGAAGGCCTTGACGGAAACATCGCCAAATATGCCTGTGCAGGGGGTCTCGGCTGCGGCTGACAAACCTCACATTCCGTCAAGTACTCCTCTTGAGCAGGTGCTGGAGGAGCCAAACTTTGATGAGCCAGAGAATCTGGCACCCGCAAAGGCTGCCGCTGCTAGCAAGGGCGAACAGGAAGTGAAGAAGAAGAAGCGCAAGTTGGGCGGTGAAACGGCAACACTTTTCGATGATGACGACGGCGAAGTGCCTCCCGCTGCTGCCAAGCGGCCTGGCAAGGTTGGCATGGGTGCCGGCAGAGCTCTCGGCAAGACTCATCTTAGTATGGTGAGGAACGCTGGTGCTTTTGGCACGAAGTCATTCTCGCCGCTCAAGAAGGATAGAAGGGGAGTCGGCGCCAGCTTCCTGGCATGATTGGCTTTGATTCATTTTGCTTTCAAGCGAATAAATGCTTTACCTCGGCATTTCAGCTCAACGGGAGGAGTCAAAAGGGGCAATGCATTGGCGGCGTTTTGGGACGGTTATTATTACGTTCAGGGCTGACTAGTCGGTGAGGTTTATGTAAAGATACGGTAGGGGTTTCCAAGCACCCAATGAATAGGCCCGACGCGGTTGCCATTCTGCCAATATTTGCGCCCTTATCAATAATTCTCATTGCAAATATCCGTGTAATCAAGTGCTTCGACGGCTTTCAGTTGTGCCTAAGTAGATGTTGGACGCTTAAAGAAGTGAAGCCAATACTTCGTCAAAACCTGAGGTCGCCTTAGAGTGTTACCCCTGGTCACGTCCGAGAAGCTTGGGCCAATCAAGTTTCTCAGCTCACCTTCATTTGCAGAAGCTTCCCTTCGACGTCTCTCATCACTCATTTCATGAACATCGAGCGACAAAACGACTTTGAACGCTCAAACGTGCTTAACCCTGCCGACTCTGACTAATAGTCTTGACGTGCCACATGAGAATTGAGGAACGACGCTCAACCTCATCCCAACCACCATTGCCACAACACATCCGCACAATGTCAGAAGCCGCATATCGCCCTCTGTGGAGCGCTGCATTGCATCAGCCCTCTTTCAGCATATTCACAACATGCAAACAACGTCGAATAAGCTTTCCTGGGATTTTGCAGATGCGCGCATCTTCTTCTAACTCGCGGTGGAAGATGAGGCAGGGTAAAGACTTTTTCGCCCGCGAGGCCAAGGTGCAGGGGCTTAAGAGCCGGGCTGCGTTCAAGCTGCTAGAGGTATGAAATCATAAAATCTTGTTTAAAATTCATTCTAGAGCATATCATGGTAACAAAAATTGTAGATGGATGCCAAATACAAGATATTCCGCAAGGGCCAGACGGTAGTAGATCTGGTAAGTCTCCGAAAATGACTTGACGTCCCTATCAAGGCCAGGATTCATTGAGGCAATGAGGCTGAGAAAGCGATGAAGGGATATGCTCCAGGGAGTTGGTCGCAGGTACGTCAGCTTCTAAAAGCATTCCCCGGAGGAGCGGAGAGTCGCGTTGGGGGGCAGAACGTATAACATCGCCATACAGGTTGCTGTCGAGCGGACGAAGCCCAATGGCCAGATCCTGGGAATCGACATCATACCCGCACAGCCACCTAAGGGTGTCTCAACGATCCAAGGCAACTTCCTTTCACCCGATGTCCAGGGTATGGTGAAAGACTATCTCGAGCGAGCCAGACACCGCAAGAAGATCTCGTCGCAAGCAGAAGAAGACGAAGAATTAGAGAATGATGAAGATGACCTGTCCGCGGACAGCGAAGCTACAGTCATTGAGGAGAAACCGAGCTATATCGACATGGAAAGAGCAGCACCCGAAATTCCAAGTACCGCCAAGGATGGATCGGAGGCTAATAAGGGTCGGTTGGTGGATGTGAGTCTTTCCCATTGTTCTTCCCTCATCACCCACCTCGAGATGTTATCGGACGTTGTAGACTGACGTGAGAACCAGATTGTATTGAGTGATATGTCAGCACCTTGGGACCAGACCAGTGGATTCGGCGTGAACAGTCTTAGTAATCCCTATCATAGGATGATGAACACGAGCGGCATGGCCTTCCGAGATCACGCCGGAAGTATGGTACGTATTCTATCCTTCCCCTCCTGCCGTCTGCAAAGTTACTGAGGTGAGAAATCAAGGACCTATGCGGAGCGGCACTGCAGTTCGCCAATGACACGCTTAAAAATGGCGGGCATTTCGTCTGCAAGTTCTACCAAGGCTCCGAGGACAGAGATTTTGAAAAGAAGTTGAAGACCTTGTTTGCCAAGGTCTTTCGAGAGAAGCCAGAGTCTTCTCGCAGTGTATGAATAGAGAGCCATCTTGTGTGCGGGATTACGCTGACTCGTTCACAGGACTCAAAAGAGGCGTACTTTGTCGCACTCAGAAGGAAGGGAAACGTAAGCTTGGAGAGTGTCGACTTGTAATCAACTGTGGGATGTGTACGAGTATGAAGGTTAAGAGAAATTGTGAGCGTTGAGTCGAGGGTACTGCCATGTTACGATGTGTAGGGCAGGCTGAAGACAAGTGACTGCAGAGCTATCACGGAATACGAATGGGACAACTGGGAAGGGGTCGGTCATCGCTAGTTGCCCCAGAACCTTGCTACAAAGCGATAGGATGGGGGACAGGAACAATACTCCGGAGTCCGGTCTAGCTCCTTTCAAGACCAAGACCCTATGTTTTTGCTTGGTACTTGAGTGAGTATGTAGATAAGTTTGGGGATACACTGTGACCGAGTGGCCCGTAAGCTAAGCAATATGGGGTACCATGCAGGCTAAATGAGCGAATGACTACCATCCCGCGACCAGACTCGGGGTTGACAGCCATTCCCAGTTACCAGATCAAATTCGAATATCGCTCATATCGGCTTCCCTTGCCCTACTTGCCTTAGCAGTGGACCTTTGCGGAGTGGACCACTTCCGTGCAATAGTCCTCGTCCCCGAATCGGCGAACCTCAAGGTTCGCCAGTGCTGGGGCCTTTTCTTCCGCGCGTGTCTGTCGCAAGTCTAAGCGGGTGGCCAACAATTCTGGATAAGTCGGCAGCCCTGTTAGTGTTACGAAACCCCTTGATTTGTAGTATATAAACAAGCTGCTGGTTCCTTCATTCTGCCTTGATCGTCTCTCTCCGAACTGTATACCGCTTACTTCGTATTCCAGCAATCGTCTTACACCAACTGCGACACTCGAAAGCCAACCGCAGCTCACGCACCACTCTCGAGCATCCTCTTTCACGATCTTCAACAATGCCTTCCGCCGATGCCCAGAAAGGTCACCTCCAGACCGTACTGGAGAACAAGGGCATCCGTTTCCAGTTCAAGACTGGTAGTGCCAAGTATGAGTGCCATCTCCAGGACCGCTCTACGTAGTGAGTGAAGCAACCGTGCTCAATCTCTGGAATGTCTGACAGTTCGCACTAACACGGTCCCCAAGCGAGCGCACGAAGGCGACGAGAACAAACTCTACCGACTCACAGACCAGCTCATCGTCTGCTTCGACCGTCAGCAGCTCCCACTAGAAGAAGGCTTTCAACATCTCTTGACCGAGGAAGTCCGGGCAGGGCAAATGATCTTGGATAGGGTGGTGCCTGCATACGGCGATGGGGCAGGATAGTGAAAGTCCATTACTTGTTTAAAAGGCGCAATCACGGCGTTACATGGGCACGGCACATGGAGGAATAGAAAAACCCTAGAGGACCAACATCGTACCTTTGGGCGGAGTCGACGGCAAAGATATTGAATTCCACAACACCATACTCGGGGGCATGCTATCCGTCAACCCCGGTGCTCATGTCTTGAGGCACACATCTGGAAAAAACGCCGGTATGCATTGGAGCGAAATGGCGAAGGGCGAACACAGGGTCTGCAGGGAGGTTTGAAAAACATTGGCGTGTTACGTATCGAACAAGCAACGCGCAGCTGACATTTTGGCTTTTTTTGGGGGGGGGTTCTGGTTTTTTCTTCGGGAATTAGATGGACTTCAATGAACTTATTTTTCCATGTCTCCCACTCTCAATCGCATACTGTGTACATCATTCGCTGACCAGATCCATCGAACCCATCAAAAGGACCCTTTCCCACGGGTAGCCTAACATCCGGCACTTCCGGAGACTAAAGTCAGCGAGAGCGAATCCCGATCCGACCACGGAAGCTCTACATGGAATATACGGCTGCATGATATTATTGAGAAGGTCAAACGATTTAACCCCATGTTGACTCCGTGGATTTCGTCAGGCGGACCCTGATTCAGACGGTGGGTTGACGCCTTCCTTCAGAGCACAGCTCTATCAGACTTCTAAGAGCCAATGGCTGTCGCCTGTTCGTGAGCAACAGTCATCCCACGGCACCGGTTGGGCGTTATACAAGTTGCTCCTTCTCCCGCTAATCTTGAGCCCGCTAGAACCGTGGGCGGCCATATTGTATATGCATACTGTAGGGCTACATTAGCTCAACGTCTGAGCGGCGAAGTCGCAATTTGGAGAGTCTCCACCGAAGAGCACCGAGTCGGTCCCGAGGACTGGTGGACACCTTAGAGCGGCAAAATAAGAGAAGAAAAACGGCGGCCAACTGATTCCTATGCCTGTCGGGGTCGGTTTTGCTGGACCGCCGACTTCGTGGTTTGCCAGTCCTTACGCCCCAGTGTGAACGGTGTTCAAGCGATCCGTTGCTTCCATCGCCGTTCGCCGTTCGCTGTCCGGCTATCAGATATGTCCGTGATCCGGCGGACGAGTCTGATATGACGCTTCTGTGGCATTTCTACTCTCACCAGTGGCCGTCTGGCTTCTAGTAGCTAGCATGTCGGATGGCACCTATATGTCAGTCGCTAGTTGCCAAGAACACCGTGTCACGGGGACGGACTTCTTGGCTCTAGAGATTGAACGGACCGATATTGAATTCTTGTAGTCACGCGAGACGATTTCAGGGCGCCATCGGCCTTGGAAGGGGCTCAATAAGTAACATATCACTCCTGCGGCGAACCTCCCTCCCAAACGCTGGTGAATAGCACTTGCTGATACAATGTGAGCTCTTGACTGAAATAAGAAATTGACCTAATGGATTATTTGAAAGTATATGTTTTCCGCCGTCGAACTCGTATACAAGTCTTTCAGGTCAATGTTGCATTAATTGGGAAACAAGTGATGTTTGGGCAGGCTTAGATGAAGTAGGCCATCGAGCAAATGTCGATTAGAGATGAAGGACATTCGATGTAAATTGGGGAATAAGCTAGCTTCCAGCCTGAGAAAGATTTATTTCTTGCGGTCATCTCTACTCCAATCTAAGAAATCGTCCATCTCAGCCTCATCCAATCTCACGATATGTTCCCATCCCCAGGCTAAATCCACCACATACGACCATACCCATTGGAAAACTCGGGATCCCGTCCGCTCTCCCATAGATAAGCCAATGAGGGCCGGATTAGTAGTTGGGTCGGTGACGACCAGCGAATACCTGGTGTTGTATGTTTTTGAAGTTTTTGGTGGGTTCACGATGGTCGTAAGTGGTGGACCCACGCCAGGTTTTGCCACCCGTTGACTACACATCGCGAATACTTACACAAGTAGCCGAGACATATTATCTTTCTGCCGCTTTCTTTGTCTTTTAAATTTGGACGTTCCTCGAATATATTACGACACTCTCGAACAGTTCCGAGCTCGATGTCCACTGGGTGATTTAGTATGTCTAGAGCAGTGAAGGATAGCTCACAATCAACTTGAGGAAAGCATGTCTTAGTAAGGTGTACGGCCAGAAATTATAACGTCAGAGAGGTATAGCCCCTAGCTCACTGTGATCACTGGTGGCCGGTTGCCCTACAATGCCTTGCCAGATTACTTGAATCAGTAAGATCATTTCGGTATTGTGGATGTCGCTGAACGGGAATCTCCATTACATTCTTTTCCTCCTCGCCTCATTAGTGACGAGGTCAATGTCCCTCAACGTCAGCTTTCCAAGACTGCACAAGAAGCAGCCTCTATAGACATATGAGTAGTGCGTTGAGTCTTGTTAAGGAACAGATGCGACCAGATTCAGCGAGCTCCCGTGGTTGTTATGTAGGTTACGATAAATACGGAGAGTGATACCGACTTTTTCTTGGAAATTCTTTGCGGCAATCCGGCGACTATCATGTTGCCAGAGAGCTAGTACCAGTGGGTGTGTCTATATATATATATATGTATATATATAAGGTATGTATGAAGATGTCGATAACCCGGTGTATCTCGCGGTGAGAGATGCTCATATTATAAATGTTGTTCGACGATGTGCAATTAGCAAATTTTCCAAATAGCATTCGGTGTATTTTCTCGAATTCGTCAACTTTAGTTCGGAGGCTTATTCTATTCCAGTTGCCAAACCTACCCTTTTACAATCTCTCCCAAAAGTCGGTGATTGCCCCTCGCCCTGGAACCCAATATCCTGGAAGCTTACTGGTAGAATGCTGGTTGTGTCACGTCTTACCTTTTCCCATTTCGTTCTATATCTAATACCTTAAGCTCAGTAGCTGTGCAGCCAGAAACACCTACTTGCTTGCTAAGCCAGCCTCATGTCACTATTTGGCGCCTTCGTCTTTGGAGACCTTTTGAGTTCGCCTGGTGAGACTACTGAGGTATGGTCTTCGACAGTGCTCATCATCATTCACCAGAAAGGAGATTGGGAATTTAAGCCCGTATTTCCTGAGTTGTAGCCTCAGCGAGTACGTACACTAGGACTCACGCATTGTGAATATATTTATATGAAGACCTTCCAGCCACAAATGTACGGAAAATTGTCGCTGATAAATTGTCGGCAGGGCGATTGGGCCGTGCCTGCGATGAAAGTTGACTGAAGTATTTGCTTGGACGGCGTACTCTTGATTTGGCCCTCCGGATGGGCTGTTGGACCGCTCTGCTGACAAGGTTGTACCAAAAATCGGAATTGCAGCCGGAGCGGGGTGGAACAGTTCCCGGAGCCGACCTGCTGTACTCCTACAAGGTGGGTCACCATGTCCGGATTCGGTGGCATGCCGCGGCCGGTGGGCGGCAGCACCAAGCACAGATTGCGAAAGCAAGCACACTAAGGTAACGTAGGTAGCAATTGCAGAGCAAGGTAACTTCCTCTAGATGTATACTGATGTACATCAAAAGAATGACTGAAATCCTCATCTTGCAGCTTGATGCAGTCATCTTACACTGGCGGATGACGTCCAGCCTGTAAAGCTGCGAAGCACCAAAACCGGCCCGGTCAAGAGGAAAGTGGCTCTTTGAGAAAATACATCGATCGAGGAAATCTCCTCAACGTCCTACTCAACAAACCATTGCATGAAGTACTACAGCATGTTATCGTGACGACCGTTGCTTGCACACCGACCTTGCGTTAGTGAGTCACGCGGGCGATTTGGCCCTCAACCCCCGCCAGATTTATGTGGGACATGCGCGTCTCGTTCTCGACCATGG